TGCTTCTTACGAAGCCACTCCTTCGTTGCCCGGGCGGTGTGTTTGGGATCATTGTCATGCTGAAAGACCCAGCCACGTTTAATCTTCAATGCCCTTGCTGATGGAAGGAGGTTTTCACTCAAAATCTCACGATACATGGCCCCATTCATTCTGTCCTTTACACGGATCAGTCGTCCTGGTCCCTTTGCAGAAAAACAGCCCCAAACCATGATGTTTCCACCCCCATGCTTCACAGTAGGTATGGTGTTCTTTGGATGCAACTCAGCATTCTTTGTCCTCCAAACACGACGAGTTGAGTTTTTACCAAAAAGTTATATTTTGGTTTCATCTGACCATATGACATTCTCCCAATCTTCTTCTGGATCATCCAAATGCACTCTAGCAAACTTCAGACGGGCCTGGATATGTACTGGCTTAAGCAGGGGGACACGTCTGGCACTGCAGGATTTGAGTCCCTGGTGGCGTAGTGTGTTACTGATGGTAGGCTTTGTTACTTTGGTCCCAGCTCTCTGCAGGTCATTCACTAGGTCCCCCCGTGTGGTTCTGGGATTTTTGCTCACCGTTCTTGTAATCATTTTGACCCCACGGGGTGAGATCTTGCGTGGAGCCCCAGATCGAGGGAGATTATCAGTGGTCTTGTATGTCTTCCATTTCCTAATAATTGCTCCCACAGTTGATTTCTTCAAACCAAGCTGCTTACCTATTGCAGATTCAGTCTTCCCAGCCTGGTGCAGGTCTACAATTTTGTTTCTGGTGTCCTTTGACAGCTCTTTGGTCTTGGCCATAGTGGAGTTTGGAGTGTGACTGTTTGAGGTTGTGGACAGGTGTCTTTTATACTGATAACAAGTTCAAACAGGTGCCATTAATACAGGTAACGAGTGGAGGACAGAGGAGCCTCTTAAAGAAGAAGTTACAGGTCTGTGAGAGCCAGAAATCTTGCTTGTTTGTAGGTGACCAAATACTTATTTTCCACCATAATTTGCAAATAAATTCATAAAAAATCCTACAATGTGATTTTCTGGATTTTTTTTTCTCATTTTGTCTGTCATAGTTGACGTGTACCTATGATGAAAATTACAGGCCTCTCTCATCTTTTTAAGTGGGAGAACATGCACAATTGGTGGCTGACTAAATACTTTTTTTCCCCACTGTATATTACTCACACACTTTGTTTGTATTTGAAATATTTCCTTACCACCCCACCAGATTTGTCACTACCGAAACTTTGTGAAACAGTTGTCATAAAGGGAGAACCATGCACAGTAGTGATAATTTTGATTAACCTTCTATTACAGATTAATTGTAGAAATTGTATTTGCATACTAAATTAACAAAATAGTAAAACATGATTTTGAGCCAGATTTTCAAAACCTTTACATTTAATTTTGAGAATTATAATCTCTATTGTTCTCTGTAAAATGTTCAATGTTGATTGTAGGAATCTGAAACTTGTTGATTGATTGAATTACTTATGCATCTAATTAATTATGTTGTTAGATGCAAGGATTGGAACCGGTTCATGGAACAGAACCAAAAACAGACAAGGAACCGGGAACGAAAATGATCCATACTGTTCCAGAACATACCATTATTTTAAAAGCATGTAAACCAGATAATAACATTATTTTACATTCCAGTCCCACAAAAAAAATCTTAACGATACAGCATACAATGACATTCTAGACGGTTCTGTGCTTCCATCTTTGTGTCAACAGTTTGGGGAAGGCCCTTTCCTGTTTCAGCATGACAATGCCCCTGTGCAGAAAGCAAGGTCCATACAGAAATGGTTTGTCAAGATCGGTGTGGAAGAACTTGACTGGCCTGCACAGAGCCTCAACCCCATCAAACACCTTTGGGATGAATTGGAACGCCAACTGCGAACCAGGCCTAATCGCCCAACATCAGGGGGGCATGAGGGGTCGGCAGGGGGACTTTAAATGTACTCTTGAAAGTTGTAATAGTAGAATGCACAAGGTGTAATTACGAAATTGGGTAGTGCAACATCAGTTCCTCTTGTCATGTCAGTCATTGCATACCTTAGACAGCTATTTCTAACTTGCCAGACATGTCCAGATCAACTAGCCCATGTCAGCTAATGTTTATTTATTTAGTTTTTTTAGCCCATAGATATTGTTGTCATTTTTTTGTCACTCAATTATCACATGAATACACATTAGACATGGCAAAAAGTATAGAATTGCAAGAAAGTGTGCTTTAAAACTGCAAACATTTCTTTGCACCCCATGACAAGATCTGTAGAATTGAAGGAAATAAGCTTTAAACCTGCAACATTCTCTCCACCAACAAGAGGGGTGTGAACAGTTTGTGTCATGAACAGTGTTTGTGCCCATTGTGTGTTCCACAATGCTGGGGGCCCCAAGTTAAAACGTTTTGGTACTTTAGATAATCCTTCATATATAAGTCTCCCGAGTGGCGCAGTGGTCTAAGACACTGCATCGCAGTGCTAGCTGTGCCACTAGAGATCCTGGTTCGAATCCAGGCTCTGTCGTAGCCGGCTGCGACCGGGAGACCCATGGGGCGGCGCACAATTGGCCCAGGGTAGGGGAGGGAATGGCCGGCAGGGATGTAGCTCAGTTGATAGAGCATGGCGTTTGCAACGCCAGGGTTGTGGGTTCGATTCCCACAGGGGGTATGAAAAAAAATAAGAAAATAATGTATGCACTAACTGTAAGTCGCTCTGGATAAGAGCGTCTGCTAAATGACTAAAATGTAAGATGTTGGGTAGTGACACATCTTAAAAATACATGAAGATTTACTAACTTGCTCACTCATTTTCTACTAAATGTTTGCAGACAGACTACTCACCATGTGGCCATGCTGGAGAGGGGTGCAATCCCATCACCTCAAATCAAATCAAATCAAATCAAATTTTATTGGTCACATGCGCCGAATACAACAGGTGCAGACATTACAGTGAAATGCTTACTTACAGCCCTTAACCAACAGTGCATTTATTTTAAACAAAAAAAGTAAGAATAAAACAACAACAAAAAAGTGTTGAGAAAAAAAGAGCAGAAGTGATATTTGTAGGGGTGTGGCTGAAGGCACATTCTACAGTCTTTTAATATGTGTGTTTCGGTAGAGACATTAAAAGGTGGGACAGCATTTTTTAGAGAAAGATGTTTAAAAATAAACAAATCTACTAATTAGATCAGTATCTTTCAATGTATTAATAGCACAACTCAAGATGTTCTATTGAAATATTAATGTAAAAAAAAAAGAATCCTTCATTGCTTTCTTTAAAAAAAAGAAGTTTAGGAGTCAGAGTTTGGGACAGCCACCTCTCAATAGAAATAGGTGTTCAAACAATTACATTGTACTATATTAATTTAACAATATGTTTGTTATTGCCTTGGATTGAATTAGAACATATCATGATGTAAATCAATTTTCTAAATTGTTTATTTGGGCTGGGACTGCAATTTGCACCACTTCTGTAGAATCACCCATATAGTGCACTACTTTTGATGAGCTAGGGCCCGTAGTAAAGAAGCTCACAGGGCTCTGGTCAAAAGTAGTGCACTGCATAGGGAATAGGTGACATTTGGGATGCACCCAATTAAATCAGCATTATGGGGAAACGTAATCCTTCTCCACATGATTGGCAGAAGACCAGTGGGCCTGGGTCACGCATAGCGGAGAGTGATTGACAGGCATGAGACCCCAGCAATAAGGCCTGTTCTGATTGGTCTGCAGGCTACAGTGACCTCAGTGGGTCACACCCCGAGGGGAGGTGGGGCTGACTGCCTGTTTCCCTGGAGACTGGGTGAAGTCACTGTATCTAAACATCTGGACAGAGAGAGAGAGAGAGAGAGAGAGATGAGGGGGTGAGAGAAAAATATGATTGATAGAGAAGGAGAGCGAGAGGGAGATGAGGAGAGAAACATACAGACATAGCAAGAGAGAGATATACATGAGTCTGTATCTCATGTAAAGTAAATCATTCTAATTTTATCCGTTTGCGCTCTATGGGAGGATGTTGCTCAGTGTGTGTGTTTGTGTGCGTGCGTTCCACAGAGCTGAAGCCCATTGGCTGAACCCCCTGAACCCAGGATAACATCTCTGTTTTGTTTGGATCCCGTTTCCTTGTGTACTCTTCATTTACATAAACACAAATACTGTGGAACTAACAACACTGTTTCTCTCTCTGTCTCTCTGTCTCTGTTTCTGTCTCTCTTTGTGTCTCCTCTCTTTCTCTCTCTCTCTATCTCTCTGTATGTCTGTCTGTCTGTCTGTCTTGGTCTCTGTCCGTCTCTGTCTGTCTGTCTCTAATCTCTTTCTAATTTAAATTCAAATTCACTATGCTTTAATGGCATGACTGACAAGGTCAATGTTGCCAAAGAGAAGTGATACACATAACAATTATGAAAACAACAGCGACAACAATAGGAATAGTAGCTATAATACTAAAAGTCTCTATCTCTGTCTGTGTCTCTGTTTCTGTATGTCTCTTTCTCTCTTGTCTCTTTTGGTCTCTGTCTCCTCTTTGTCCTGGACTAAAAAGCATGCTCAATGAAGAATCTCTATTGAAAGTGTTTTATAGTCCAGGACTAGGCTTAATCTGTGTCCGGGAAAACTGGCCCTTATGTCTGATTCCTTTACAGTCCTCTAACCCTCAGCTGTTTACTGATACGTAGGTATATAAGCATGATCTGTACCCCCCCATGATACAGTACTTTCACCCATCCGGTCTTCCTATCTCTCTATGCAAATAAAATCAGTGAGTAGGGGCTAGAGTAGTGTTTCCCAATCCTGGTACTGGGAACCCAAAGGGGTGCACAATGTTGTTGATTTGTTACTTCTAGGGGAAAAAACGAAAATGTGCATCTGTTTGGGTCCCCAGGACCAGGATTGGGAAACATCGGGCTAAGGGAATGGTGAAGGAACCGAAATAGAATGGGACCTAAGTGTGTGTTATGTCTGTGTGCTCCAGCAGGTTGCTGAGGGGTGAGAGTTGAGGGGTCGGCAGCGCAGCAGGCATGCAGAGCATTAAGTGTGTAGTGGTGGGCGACGGTGCTGTAGGGAAGACCTGTCTGCTCATCTCGTACACAACTGGAGCCTTCCCTAAGGAATACATACCCACCGTGTTTGACAATTACAGCAGCCAGGTACTGTGTATGTGTTTGTTTGTGTATGTATGTGTTTTTACACCTGTGTGGGTGTGTGTGTTTATACCTGCCTGCATGTGTGTGTTCCCTGTGTGTGTCTGTTTACTTACCTGTGTGTGTCTACTTCCCTGTGTGTGCGTTTACGTCCCTGTGTGTGTCTTACACCTGTGTGTTTGTGTGTTCCAGGTGACAGTAGACGGGCGCTCCATCAGTCTGAACCTGTGGGACACGGCGGGTCAGGAGGAGTACGACCGCCTGAGGACCCTGTCATACCCTCAGACAAACATCTTCATCATCTGCTTCTCCATCTCCAGTCCCGCTTCATATGAGAACGTCAAACACAAGTGGCACCCAGAGGTCAGTGTGTGTGTGTTTGTCTGTGGGTTTATTACATGTTGTGTGTGTGTGCATGCTTGCGTGTAAATGTCTGTGTTTACACATGTCAAAGGTTTGGACACACCTACTCATTCAAGAGTTTTCTTTATTTTTACTATTTTCTACATTGTAGAATAATAATGAAGACATCAGAACTATGAAATAATACATATGGAATCATGTAGTAACCAAAAAAGTGTTAAACAAATCAAAATATATGTTATATTTGAGATTCTTCAAATAGCCACCCTTTGCCTTGATGACAGCTTTGCACACTTTTTGCATTCTCTCAACTAGCTTCATGAGGTAGTCACCTGGAATGCATTTCAGTTAACATGTGTGCCTTCTTAAAAGTTAATTTGTGGAATTTCTTTCCTTCTTAATGCGTTTGAGCCAATCAGTTGTGTTGTGACAAGGTAGGGGGTTATACAGAAAATAGCCCTATGTGGTAAAAGACCAAATCCATATTATGGCAAGAACAGCTCAAATAAGCAAAGAGAAACGACAGTCCATCATTACTTTAAGACATGAAGGTCAGTCAATACGGAAAGTTTCAAGAACTTTGAGAGTTTCTTCAAGTGCAGTCGCAAAAAACCATCAAGCGCTATGATGAAACTGGCTCTCATGAGGACCGCCACAGGAATGGAAGACCCAGAGTTACCTCTGCTGCAGAGGATAAGTTCATTAGAGTTACCAGCTTCAGAAATTGCAGCCCAAATAAATGCTTCACAGAGTTCAAGTAACAGACACATCTCAACATCAACTGTGTGAATCAGGCCTTTATGGTCAAATTTCTGCAAAGAAACCACTACTAAATGACACCAATAAGGAGAAGAGACCTGCTTGGGCCAAGAAACACGAGCAATGGACATTAGACCGGTGGAAATGTGTCCTTTGGTCTGGAGTCCAAATTTGAGATTTTTGGTTCAAACCGCTGTGCCTTTGTGAGACGCGGTGTGGGTAAACGGTGATCTCCGCATGTGTATTTCACACCGTAAAGCATGGAGGAGGTGGTGTGATGGTGTGGGGGTGCTTTGCTGGTGACACTGTCTGTGATTTATTTAGAATTCAAGGCACACTTAACCAGCATGGCTACCACAGCATTCTGCAGCGATATGCCATCCCATCTGATTTGGGCTTAGTGGGACTATAATTTGTTTTTCAACAGGAAAATGGCCCAACACACCTCCAGGCTGTGTAAGGGCTATTTTACCAAGAAGGAGAGTGATGGAGTGCTGCATCAGATGACCTGGCCTCCACAATCCCCTGACCTCAACCCAATTGAGATGGTTTGGGATGAGTCGGACCGCAGAGTGAAGAAAAAGCAGCCAACAAGTGCTCAGCATATGTGGGAACTCCTTCAAGACTGTTGGAAAAGCATTCCAGGTGAAGCTGGTTGAGAGAATGCCAAGAGTGTGCAAAGCTGTCATCAAGGAAAAGGGTGGCTATTTGAAGAATCTCAAATATAAAATATATTTTGATTTGTTTAACACTTTTTTGGTGACTACATGATTTCATAGTTTTGATGTCTTCACTATTATTCTACAATGTAAAAAAATAGTAAAAAATAAGGAAAAACCCTTGAAAAGTAGGTGTGTCCAAACATTTGACTGGTACTGTATGTGTGTGTGTGTACCCACAGGTGTCCCACCACTGCCCCGGTGTGCCTGTCCTCCTGGTAGGCACTAAGAGCGACCTGCGGAACGACGAGGAGACCCAGCGCAAGCTGAAGGAGCAGAGCCAATCTCCTGTCACGCATCACCAGGGGGCGGGGCTGGCCCGTCAGATCCACGCCGCCCGCTACCTGGAGTGCTCCGCCCTCAACCAGGATGGGATCAAAGAGGTGTTTGCTGAAGCCGTCCGAGCCTTCCTCAACCCCCACCCCACCACCAGCAAGAGGTCCTGTAGACTACTGTAGAGAGGGAGGGAGGGAGAGGAGGGGGAGGGAAGGAGAGAGGGAGAGAGAGAGTGGTTTAGGGAGATAGAGAGGAAGAGAGCGGAGTGTAAAGGAGGGGTAAAGAGACAGATGTTCACTGAGGCCATCCGGGCCTTCTTCAACCCCCAGCGCACCACTAGCAAGAGGTCCTGTAGGCTACTGTACAGAGAGAGAGAGAGAGAAAGGGAGGTGGGAAGAGGGAGAGAGGGACAGTGGGACAGAGGGAGAAAGAGAGAGTGAGAGAGAGAGAGAGAGGGGTAAAGAGAGAGAGGAAAGAAGGGTGGCTAGCTAGATGAAGGGGGTGGGCAGTTGAAACTGAAAAACTTACTGCAACAATGGAAATAATATGAATGTACATAATTCAGTTACATGTAAATATGACAGGAGAACAGTATTCTCTTTTCCCTCAGTGACCGACGAGCCTTACTATTGGGAAGAGGGAGGGGCAACTGTACTCTTCAAATAACGAATTACAGTGGTCTGCTTTCATGGACACTTGGGCAGTCCTGATAGGCCAGAGCAGTGTCACTCAACGGCTTTACCAGAGACTGATTGGTCTGTGATGGTGGCGCCTGCTTTCTCTTCCCACCCCCTGACCCTCGTCTCGTTTCGTCTTCTTCCCGCTGTAGAGCTCAGTAGAACTAAAGCATATTGAGAAATATCATGATGAGCCATGCCTTTTTCCGACTAATATTTGTTTGTAAATCAAAAATGTGCCATGTTTGTTGACGCTGGCTGCCTCTGTTCAGGCCAGAGGTTAGAGGTCACAGATGAAGCTGGGGACCTGAGAGGTTGTCCCCCAAAAGTTGTGAAACCTTTTTTCCTTTCTTCCACAACCACTGATCTTCCTTTATATCTTCCCCTATGTCATAACCCCTTCTGTGTTTGCAGCCCTGAGTGGTATACTACGAAGTAAGCTAGATCTACTCAGGCTTTTATAAAGCTAGCCAACTTCAGTTAGCTTCACATTCCACCGTACTACGACGGTGGATATTGCTCGTCCGCCTGCCCGCCGTTAACTCTAGCAGGCTTGTAACTGCGCGTGCATGTCGCACATGGCTAGTCGCATGCCAAACTCTTCATTGAGACAATGCTGAATCATCAATCCATGGGCGAGCAGTGCCACATTTTCATTTGTGGCGAAATCTAAATGAAATTGAAGTTATCTTACAAATTTCAGCAGGCTAGGGTGTGAAATAGGCTTTAAGCCATCTTTATTTTATTACTTATCGTTAATGTTACTTTTGGTGTGCTTTGGTGTGCTCATCAATGCACAAGCACCTTTTTCTATCTGTGGAACAGCTTGTTGCCATAGCCATAGCCATATAATCCTGTTTTTGGTTTTCGAAACTTTAAACCTGGTAATTTGACTGTTACACTCATGGTAACCTAACGTAGCAGGCGTAAAAGAAACGCCTGAAACTAGAAATTACTGGTCTTGACAATAAGAAGAAAAAACTGTTCAACCAATCCAATAAATGTGGAGGAGTTAAGATGGAGTGTCGTGCTGTTAATAACGTCTAAAAGCGGAAGTCGCGCCACAGGCTCTCTTTCCAGTTCCCCTGAAAATCAGAACATCCAGCTGTTGAGGACTCGACAGAGGCTACATTCATGGGTACACTAGCAATGGCTGCCAGTCTTCACTTGAATGGGCACTGCCATCTATGGATTATATGTCTATGGTTGGTTGCCTTTCGCAAATTTCAAAATACAATTGCACAAACAACATACAGTTTGGAAAGCAAATACTGTCATTACTAAATGTGTCGTGATGGGTGTTAAAAAATAAAACTATTTAGACACAAAAAACATTTTATTAATGTAATATTTAATCAATCGTCTTCCTCAAATGAAGGGGATAATAACACAATCTTTAAAGAGAGGGAGGGTATCTGATTTCATTGGTCCTCAACTCGAGGCTCAGACACTTCATTCAGGATAAATGGAGTACGCCCTGAGTTAGCCTGCAGGTTAGACACAGCTTGAGTCCAGAGTCTCTTTGCTACAGGAAGTAATCCTCCTACTGAGGTTCACAACGAGGCAGGGAGCCATTTCCACTTCCCCCCTCACTTCCTGTCTGCCTGTATACCTTCCAGACCATTCCAGCAGTGGAATGTTTACAGACCACCCTCCGTCCCCCTCCCCTCTCCTTTCATTCGCTCTTCTCCCCTCCTCTTTGCGCCTCTCCTCTCCCCCCCCTCTCCTTTCCCCTGTTCTCCTACCCTATGCCTCCCCTCACCATTACTTCCTTCTCCTCCCCCCCATTATATTCCACATGGGCTGTGCTTGAAAGTAATTTTTTTTATGTAGAATATCTATCAAACCTGTAAGGTAATTTGTGTTTAACATTATTTAATATTTTTTGTTTTAAATATTTCAGTGACCATGCAATGTTAAAAAAGTTGTCAAATGCCAGGCATTGTGTAAACTGAGAAGAGCTAACATTCAGACTGTGTTAATTTGATTTAAACTGAGAATAAAATCATGTTACAATCCTGACCGCCATCCTGTCTTTTACAATATTGGAGTCAAAGATATGTTCTAATTCAGCTTCTTGAATTGGAATTTTTATAGTAATTATTTGTGAGTGTGTGTGTCTCTGCTTAAACAGTCCAATTCTATAAAAGCTCCACATATCAGGAGTAGGTCTGTGTCCCAAATGGCACCCTATTCCCTATATACTGCACTACTTTTGTTTCTTTACAAAAGTAGTGCACTATGTAGGGAATAGGATGCCATTTGGCACTCCGCTCAGGACTTCCTCCTGGCCAGTATACAGTATTGGTGAACACTACAGTATCATGATGCACAGGCTTAACAAAAGCAGCCCTACTCTATCAACAAACACAGTTCCTCCACACTGGGTGGTTCCCATATGTGTCTGTCTGTAACTCAAAGAGAGAGAGAGAGACAGAGAGAGAGGAGAGGGGAGAGAGACAGAGAGAGAGGAGAGGGGAGAGAGACAGAGAGAGAGGAGAGGGGAGAGAGACAGAGAGAGAGGAGAGGGGAGAGAGACAGAGAGAGAGGAGAGGGGAGAGAGACAGAGAGAGAGGAGAGGGGAGAGAGACAGAGAGAGAGGAGAGGGGAGAGAGACAGAGAGAGAGGAGAGGGGAGAGAAACAGAGAGAGAGGAGAGGGGAGAGAGACAGAGAGAGAGGAGAGGGGAGAGAGACAGAGAGAGAGGAGAGGGGAGAGAGACAGAGAGAGAGGAGAGGGGAGAGAGACAGAGAGAGAGGAGAGGGGAGAGAGACAGAGAGAGGAGACAAGTGGGGGTGGGGTGGGGGGGGCATGTAAATGTGAGAGAAAGAGAGAGGGGGGGGGTAGAGCTGGGGTGGAGAAAACGGGGACCTGAAGAAGAGAGAAAGGGTAGATGGAGGGAAGTGGACAGAGGTACACTTATTCCAGAGAACACTTAACCGTGACGCTGACTCACACACATGCACTGAAAGGTTGGGATTCCTGGAAACAATGAACTACTATGAACAGGGTTGAAAATCATATAGCATTCCTCACATTCGCCCAAACCTGCCTTTAGCAGTAGCACTGGCCTGAGGGTTGGAGTGTGAGAATGGTCTCTAATTCTCACGTTGGGGAGACTAGCAGAGTGAGAGCTACAAAAATATTTTTCCTGTGTATGTGTTTATGTCTGCAAGTGTGTGTGTGTGAGAGATTCCCGCCACTTAGCTAAATTTACACCTAACACCTTTCACTGTTTACAAGGCCCAACCTGTCCAGTCTTACTTTACCTACTCGAACAACCCTAATCTCTCGTGGACAGATGCACATAGCATAAACGGTGATAGCATCTGTCAACAGACTGGGATGCAACGACTAAAGAGGAACTTTTCTCCAGTACGCACATTTCTTGTCACTGATCATTTGGACAAATCACAATTTCACAGGTGCTCGCATCTTTTAGATTTCTGAAGGGTAGGGGACATCTGGCCCATAGACTTGCCCAAAACTCGCTGTCAGTTTCCGTTTCAAGGGGTGGAGACTTCGGACATTATCTAACGCGTCTCCTTCTAGAATTTAAACAAGCATCTGATGCAATTACGCCAGATTTTAGTTCTGGGTGTCCGAGATTAAACAAGCTCCAAAAGTATCTGTACACCAGAGCCAAGTGATACAACGACTATGAGGCTAAAGTGCAGAGTTAGCGGCAGGCGGACAAGCAATAACCGTCGTAGTACGAGCCTGATCTGGAATGTGAAGCTAACTGAAGTTGTCTAGCTTTATAAAAGCCTGAGTAGATCTAGCTTACTTCGTAGTATACCACTCAGGGCTGCAAACACAGAAATGCTAACCTCTCACTATTACAATAACAGGGGAGGTTAGCATTTTTTATGACTAATTTTTGGCAGTTTTACTTTAGTGCCTTATTGCAAACAGGATGCATGTTTTGGAATATTCGTATTCTGTACAGGCTTCCTTCTTTTCACTCTGTCAAGTAGGTTAGTATTGCGGAGTAACTACAATGTTGTTGATCCATCCTCAGTTTTCTCCTATCACAGCCATTAAACTCTCTGTTTTAAAGTCACCATTGGCCTCATGGTGAATCTTTCTGTAACTTTTTCACTCATCATTATTCTCGATTAATTCAGGATTATCCGTAATCATGGATGTTGAAGTATTTTGAAACACTTCTGATTTACAATAAAAGTGACTCCAAAATGACACAATACATTATTTACCATACATTTCTATTGGGCACAAAATAATCTGAAACACAACCAACACAAACAGCAAATGCATCCAAGTTTGTAGAGTCACAAGCTTCATGTAATCATTGCGTGCTAGGAATATGGGACTATGTACAAAAAGTACTGTAATTTCTAAACGGTTCACCTGATATGGATGAAAATACCCTCAAATGCACTTTAACCTCATAGTCATTGTATCATTTCAAATCCAACGTGCTGGAGTACAGAGCCAAAACAACAACAAAATTGTAACTGTCCCAATACTTTTGGCGCGCACTGT